TGTTTTTTCAATAGCTAAACATTGAACTATATCTTCTAAAAACTCATCACCTCTTAATAATATTTTAACTAAAACTAATTTACATATATGTTTATTTCAGTATAATATTTGAATGTATAATTCTGTATTATCTTTTACATCTATAGGAGTTAATATTGATAATCAGATTACTAGAACTAGTAGTATCTATATCTTTTGTATTCATAGAGAATTGTATTACAAGATAGGTGCCTTTTCTTTTAATTCTGAAATTCAGCCTCAATTTGCTCAGATATATATATGATACAGATCATGAGTTACAAAATAGAATAAATATAATGCCCAGTTTTGATTCTACTATTCTTGCTAATCTTCAACAAATGTTGCATAATATTAATCTATATGCTAATATGTTTCATCAAGTTGAATACTTTCTAAATTGTGATCTATTATTAGATTTAAAATTAGTAATTACAAATAATAGAACTAAAGATCCTCACCATTATAATACTCCAAGTGCATCTGAAGTTGCTATTATTATAATAAGAAATAGACAAGAAGCAGAACCATTAAACTAAGATATTGTACTATATTCAAATAATAGAGAACTACAAAAAATATCAGAATTACATCTTGCATATGAACCTCTTTATTATGTTCTTATGTTTCCTAGAAGTAAAAATGAATAGCATCCTAATATTTCTATATGTGATAATTATATAAATAACCAAAATAATAATATATTAAAACTTAATGATGAAAATCAAAAAAATAAGCCAAATAAATATATTACAATAATGAATTATCTTTCATATTAGCTTCAAATTGGTCATCCTGATAAAGCATTAACTTTGCATTAGTATAAGTGACTTTTTCAACAATGGATCATAGATATATATTCAGTAATAGAACAAACATGTCTCAATTATCTAAGACATAACCAAAAACAACTATGTGCAAAATTATATAATAGAATTCAAGATGCTATATATGCAGGAGATAGTTCAATGAATGTAGGACAATAAATTATATTATTTTCAAGTTTTACAGAAAGGCCTTGTCAAATGTATAAGCTATATCAAGACACTATAGCAATTGTGAGAATAGCTAAAAAACTTGACCTGTTTATTGCAGTAACTTGCAATCCAAATTGGTCTGAGATTAAAAATGCACTTCTTTTAAAACAAACACCATCTGATCATTCTAATCTAATTAGTCAAGTTTTTAATATGAAATTGAAAGCACTTTTAAATAATATTCTAAAAGAAAATATTTTTGGATCAGTCACAGACTATGTATACACAATAAAATTTCAAAAATGTGACCTATCTCATGCTTATATTCTTATTATTTTTGTATATGAATACAAGCTCCAAACTGTTACTGACTATAATGCAATTATATCTGCTAAGATCCCTAATAAAAATAATAATCCTGATTTGTTTAATACTGTTTAACAGACAATGATTCATAAATCATATGATTTACTTATACCAAATGCCCTATACATGAAAAATGAAAAATGCTTTAAAAAATATCTATGAAGCTTTTAGGAAAGTACTATAAAGAATGAACATGGTTATCCTGTATATAGATATAAAAATAATGGTAGCACTGTAAAAGTAAAAGCATTTCAATTAAATAATTATTAGATTGTACTCTATAACCCTTATTTTATATTTAAATATGACTATCACATTAATATAGAAATTTGTTCATCAATTATTGCTATAAAATATCTTTTTAAATATGTTTATAAGGGACCTGATTATGCAACTATTAAAATTAGAAGAAACAATACAAATAATCAAACAAATAATGAGATAAGACTTTATCTTGATGCTTACTATGTTTTAGCATTAGAAGCTTCATGAAGAATATTTTACTATTGATTACATAATGAGAAGCCTGACATTATGCAATTATATATTCATCTTTCAGGTTAACATAAAGTATTATTCAGAGATGATGAGTTTTTAGAAGATATAGTTCAATGTTTAGCTATTGAAAAAACAACTCTTATAGCATAGTTTCAGGCAAATACAATATATCCAAAGACAAGAAGCCTTACTTATACCAATTTTCTATCTTAATGGACTTATGATATATGGGCAAAAAAATAAAAACCAAGACAGTAAGGATATACTATTGGTCATATATATTTTGTCTATCCTGCAGCAGATGAACAATATTATCTAAGAATGTTACTTAGTGTAGTTGTTGGTTCAACTTCCTTTGAATATATTTACACAATAAATAAAATTACTTATTATTCTTTTAAAGAGGCATGTATTGCTTTAAACCTATTACAAGAAGATGAAGAGTAGGATCAATACTTAACAGAAGCTGGGCAGATGCAATTAGGTGCACAACCATGCAACTTATTTGCCACTTTGCTCATATTTTGCAACCTATTAAGACCTAAAGCACTTTGAAAAAAGCATATTTATGCACTTAGTGATGATATACTCTTTCAAACTTGTTGTGATACTGAAAATATGACTCTTGAACTTAGAAATACTAATATACAAAATAGAGCTCTTCTTCATTTACAATCTATCTTAAGTAAATATAAAAGATGTCTTGAGGAGTTTCTATATATGCCTATTCCAATTGCTGATACTAATACTGAACAAAATAATCATCTAATTAGAGAAAAGCAACAATATAATATTAAAGAACTTGTAAAGATTATTAAAAAAGAACTTTTGTGTTTAAATGTAGATCAGTGAGCCATATTTGATGAAGTTATAGCAGCTGTAGAAACAGAAACACCTGCTGTTTTTTTTATAAATAGTCCAGATGGAACTGAAAAAACATTTCTTTACAACTAAGAAAAATTTTAATAATTTATTGATATCAATTCTTCTTAAATGCAAAAGAATATTTATATAAATATATGAAGATTTATAATTAGTAACTAAATCAAAGATTATATTAAAACTTCTAATTGAATATAAAATTTGCTTAAATTAAAATATAATATAGAGTTTTGCTAACTTATATTCATTTAAAAAGATATATAAATCTTGCTATAGCTTTATTGAGTATTGCTGCTCTTTTTTTATCAGATAGTTGAGCTGCTTACTTCATGTTTAAAATATCTTTTAATATATATGAAGACTTTACATGTTTAATAATACATAGTTTTGATCTGGCATTACTTTTGCAGAATGCACGTCTCATTATCTGGGATGAGGCCCCAATGGCACATTGACATGGACCTAAAGCTGTAGATAAAACTTTAAAAAATTTTATAAAAATAATTAACCTATCATTAGAAGCAAAGCTATTTGAAGATAAGGTTGTAGTATTCAGTGAAGACTTTTGTCAAATTCTTTTTGTAATAATAAAGAGTGGTCGAAAAGAAATTGTAGAATCTTGCTTATGATGATCAGCTTTGTAAAGGCATATCAAAGTAATATCATTAAAAATTAACATGTATCTCCTTTATAATGCAAATGAACCAGATGCAACTAAACAAGAAAAATTTGCTAATTGGCTACTTAAAGTTGAAGAAGGGCATATTTCTATTGTTGATGGAATAGAGTGCAATATTATTCAACTTTCTAAATATATTATTTTGCCATCTTAAGATATAAATGCTCTGATCTGTTTTATTTATCTTACTCTTTTTGCAAGTTTTGATTCTCAATATTTAGTCAAACATGTAATACTTGCTTCAAAAAATGAACATGTTAATGCTATTAATACTGCTATTATGACTTAGTTTTTTGGTAAAGCAGTTGAATATTTTAGTGCAAACACAATTGAAATCAAACAGACTCTAATCATCAGTATCCAATAGAGTTTTTTAATTCTCTTATTATTGGAAGTTTTTCTTCTTATAAATTAACATTAAAGTTAGAATCTTCAATTATACTATTGTGAAATATTTATTTACCTGATGGTCTTTGTAATAAAACTAGATTAGTTTGTTAATCTTTTTAAAAACATGTAATTGAAACTAAGATAATTACTGAAAAACATGCTAAAATGCATGCATTTCTTCCTCATGTTACCTTATTACCTTCAAATGTTAGTTTACTATTTACCTTTAAGCAATGCCAATTTTCAGTATAACCTGCTTTTGTGATAACTATTAACAAATCTCAAAAACAAACATTAAACTGAATCAGTTTGCATCTTTCAACTCCTGTTTTTTCTCATAGATAATTGTATATTGTTTTTTCAAGAGTTATATCTAAAAGAAATTTAAAAGTACTTATTTGTAAATAGCAAGAAAAAGAAGCAAACTATATTGATTATATATATAATATTGTATATTCAGAAATCTTTCAATAAATCATAATAAACTTTCTAATAAAGAAACTTTAATTTATAATATTTAAGCATAATTAGAAAACCTGACTAAAATAAACTTTTATCTATTATTTATTTTTTTTAAAAAAATATAAACTATTTCTTATTATAAGATCTATTCGAATTTATTAACAAATGCAAAGCAAAATAAATTATCTTAGTAAAGAAAATATGTATTATATTAAATAGTTAGTCTATTAATTTTATAAACAATTAATACTATGCTTACTTTATAAAAGTATAGTCTACTTTATAATTAACTAATATTTTTATTTAATTTTATATTATTTATATAGTTTAATGATTTTATAGAACTTTATTATCAAAAATAATCAAAAATTTTTTCATGCTTAAAAAAATTAATATAGCAATAACTTGGCTTTATCTATTTTTAAAAAGTTATTGCTATGCTAACTTCTTTAAGCAAGAAAAAATTTTAATAATGAAGTCCTATAATACTAATAAACCTTTTTATTACTTTGTTTTTCTTTATTATTTTTAGTTTTATTTTTTTAAAAATGTATTTTAAACTGTATAAATAATATAAAATTAAATAAAAATTATCAACTAATTATAAAAAAGTCTTTCTATAACTATGTACCTTTATATTATTAAAATTAATTAGCTAAAAATTTATAAGCAATTTATCTAAAACAGTTACAAGAAGCTTTTTAAGATAAAGCACAATAAAATCAATTAAATATTTGGGTTTTAAATTTATATTATATTTGGTTTTTTTATCTTAACTATTTACTAACTCATTTTATTTTACATTTTATTATATACTGCTTTGCTAATAGTTTAAAATTATTAAAATTATATACTTTAATAAAAACATTATATTAGATATAAATAATAGATAATTATTATTACAAATCAATTTCAAGAATATTAATATCTATAATTATATAAGATATTATTATGCTATTTAATATTAGTAGCTCATCACAACTCTCCCCGACGATCACTTGTACCGAATTTCACACCAACAAAAACGGAAAACTTATTGGAGAAAGTAG